TGAGTGGAGTTTCACAGTATGGATGCACCATCGTTTGTTTAATCATTCACCCATTGGAAGACATCTGGATTGTCTCAGTCTGGGGCTGTTATGAATAAAGCTGCTATAAATATTCACGTACAGGTTTTTGCATGAATATAAATTTTCATTTCTCTGGCATAAAGGCCTAGGAGTGCAATTGCTGGGTCATATAATAGTTGCATGTTCAGCTTTTGTAAAAGCACTGTGAACCTGTTTTCCAGAGTGGCCATACTATTTTACATTCCCACCAGCATTGTATGAGTGATCTAGTGTCTCCACAACCTCACCAACATCTATTGTTACTATTTTTTGAATTTTAGCTCTTATGATAGGAATACAGTGATAATACATTGTGGTTTCAGTTTACATTCACTTAATAGCTAATAATTTCACGTGCTTATTTGCCATCTCTATATCGCCTGTGAAATGTCTCTTCGTGTCTTTTACCTATGTTCTAACTAGATTTTTTGTTCATTTACTGTTGAGTTTTGAATGTTCTTTATAAATTCTAGATACTAGTCCTTTCTTGAATATGTAACTGCAAATATTTTCTCCCAGTCTGTAACTTGTCTTTTCATCCTCTTAATATGGTTTTTCATGAGGCAAAAGTGTTTTTAATTTTTATGAAGTCCAATTTATCCAGCTTTCCTTTTATGGATTGTGCTTCTGTTGTCACGTATAACCCTGAGAGTCTGTTTTTTGGGTTTTTTTTAAAGATTTTATTTACTTATTTATTTGAGAGAGAGAGAGAGAAACAGCATGAGAGGGGAGAGGGTCAGAGGCCCACTGAGCTGGGAGCCCGATGTGGGACTCGAACCCAGGACTCCGGGATCATGACGTGAGCTGAAGGCAGGCGCTTAACCAATTGAGCCACCCAGGTGCCCCAAGTCTGTTCATTTTTTGTTTTTATTTATTTATCTGTGGATTATTTAATTTTTTAATTTTACATCTAATTTTTTTATTTTAAAGATTTTATTTATTTATTTGACAGAGAGAGAGATAGCAAGAGCAGGAACACAAGCAGGGGGAGTGGGAGAGGGAGAAGCAGGCTCCCTGCGGAGCAGGGAGCCCGATGTGGGGCTCGATCCCAGGACCCTGGGATCATGACCTGAGCTGAAGGCAGACGCTTAACAACTGAGCCACCCAGGTGCCTCACTTATTTTTTTTTAAATAAAAAAATAGTTTAAGCTCTAACACGGGGCTTGAACTCACAACCCCAAGATAAAGAGTCATATGCTCTACCGACTAAGCCAGCCAGGAGCCCCAAAGTCTGTTCATTTTTATTTTTGGTTTATTTTTTCTCTGTGTTGCTCACATTGAATGATTTCTACTCTCCTGTCTTCTGGCTCAGTGACTCTTTCCTCTGTCCCCCCCCTTCCCCATGCCACTGTCATTCTGTTGAGCCCTTCCACTGAGCTTTTTACTTCAGTTATTGTCTTTTTCAGTTGTAACATTTACATTTGATTTTTTTTACATCTTCTATTTCTTTGCTGAGACTTTCTCTTTTTGCTGAGGTTTGTATCTCTACATTTGTTTCAAGTATACTTATAATTGCTCACTGAAACATTTTTATGATGGTTGCTTAACAATCTTTGTCAGATCGTTCCAGATCCCTGTCACCTCAGTGTTGGCATCAATGAATCACCTCTTTTCTTTCAGTGTGATGGCTTCCTGGTTCTTAATATGATGAGTGATCTTGGATTGAAAGCAGGACATTTTGTATTGCTGTAAGACTGCGTCTTATTTAAGCCTCTCTCAGTTGGCTTTTCCTGATAGGGGAAGGGGGTGGGGGCTGCCTCATTTCTGCCAGGTTTAAGTAGATGTCCAGCTACCCTACTCTGCCTTACTTGATGCTGGCAAAGAAGAGATGATCTCCCCTTACTGCTGCGGGAGTGGTGGGAATATCAGCTCCCCACATGGTCTTATAACACAGCAGTGGGTAGGGTCTCATCACCACTGGCGATGGTGAAAGTCCTGAGTGCCTACTAGGCCCCTTCCATGTTTAGAGAACTTTCTTTAGCCATTCTTTTAGGGTAGGGTGCTAGCAACGAATTCTTTTAGCTTTCCTTATCACTTGAGAATGTCTTGATTTCCCTTTCATTTCTGGAGATAATCTTTTACTGAGTATAGGATTCTTTGCCTTCAGCACCTGTGACACCACCCCAGCGGGGAGATGGAGGAGCACCTCGTTACTTCTGGATTGGAGTGGAAGTCCAGTCTCCACTGACATCATGGGCTGGGGGGGATCTTTGTTAGCACACAGCAGGGATGAACGTGCCAACTTCCTACTTGGCCATCTGACACCATCCTGGCCTGGAGGTTGGGGACCCATGTCACAGCCCGGGGAAGGCGGAAGTCCTGGCTCCCCAGTTGACCACAGTTTTTTCTGTGGTGTTTGGCTGTTGTAGGGCAGTTGTTGTCTGTACGTTTTCTGTCTTGCTACATTCCCTCTTTCCTGGTCCTTGGCTTGAGAGAGCAGGCTTTTACTGGGGGCTTTGTTTTGGTCTGCATCTGGCTGCATTTCCTTATTGCTAACTTCTGCAGCTCCAGTAATGGGATATACAAGGAGAAAAGAAACTTCAGGGAAATCACCACTTGTTGAGTCATGAGGTCTTTAGCCACTTTGCCTTCTCTCCACCTTCCAGAATCTTCTGATGCTTGTTTTGTATATAATGTCCAGGGTTTCTTGTACTTAACAGGAGTGAGAGGGAAAACATACATGTGTTACATCTTCCTGAAAGCAGAAGTCTATCTCTTTGTTTCTTTTTTTTTTTTTTTTTTTAAGATTTTATCCATTTGAGAGAGAGAAAGAGAGAAAGAGAGCATGAGAGGAAGGAGGGTCAGAGGGAGAAGCAGGCTCCCCACCAGGCAGGGATCCCGAGACTCCAGGATCATGACCCGAGCCGAAGGCAGTCACTTAACCAACTGAGCTCCCCAGGCGCCCTCTTTGTTTCTATTAAGCATATACAGAATCCTTCTGTATAAATCTAAATCTTTTCCTACATATGGGATGGATTCCTAGAAGGAAAGTCAGTCGGCCAAAGGGTATGAACATTTTTGTGACACTCAAGACATGATGACAACACTTAAAAGACTGTACCTGTTCACACTATCTCCGTTAGTTTCTTGCCTTTTTAAGGATAATGTCAGTTTCAAAGTGGCACTGAATCGAATGTGTGCCTACTTGAGGTCCTTGGTAAACTGCAGGCCGCTTGCCAACCTGTAGGTGGATTTTTCCCCTGAAGCTCTTCTACTGCCTCCGCCGAAAAACCAGAGGGTGCTGGTGATGATGGGCTTCAGCAAGGACCGGGCGGAGCCCCGCGAGGGGACAAGGGCCCGAGTATGTGGGGCTGCATGCCGGTTCTCCTAACAGTGACTATATTCTTAGGGAAGCCGCTTGTTTCAATATAAGAGTCTAAATATAAGAGTCATCACAAACAATGTGATGAAGTCATTAGCTATATTGTCAGGTGCTAGATGGAAACTAGGGGAGATGAATGGGGGAAGGAACGAGCATAGTATGATTTTAATGCTGGGTGGGTACAGGCATTCCTGCAGCAGCTCTGTTGCGGCTGATCACAGGCTCTGGGCCAGGGGATGTGATGTGTGTGTTTCCTGGGGATCACAGACCCAGTCTCATGGTATCAGAGAGTCGGGGAGAAGAGGCAGTTGCTGACAGCTGATATATATATATATATTTTTTTTTTTTTGAGAGAGAGAGAGAGAGAGTGCGAGTGGGGGTGGGGGTTATGGGCAGAGGGAGAGAGAGAGAATCTCATGCAGACTCCATGCTCAGCACGGAGACTAACACAGGGCTCTGAGATCATGACCTGAGCCAAAATCAAGTGTTGGATGCTTAACCGACTGAGCCACCCAGGCAGCCTGCGGATAGATACTCCCTGACAGCGTTAGTGAAGGGTGTGGAAGATCCAAACTTAAGAGATAATCAGATCATTTATGTTTGCCTTTGGAATCTTTGGAATGCAGTACTACCTTAGCTGCCCTTCTCTGGCCCAGAGTTTTGTTGATTTGCACCATTTTGGAGCATGGCCTTGTCCCCAGAGACTTCTCCTCCTGCTCCATTATGTTGACATTTCCACCTACAAAGCATTAGTGCAGGGTCTACAAGAGGTTATAAAACCTGGCCCTTGACCTCTTGGAAGGTTGATCTCTGAAATTGAGAACCCTGGGTGTCGGACCTTGGTCACATGCCCTAACCACTATGGGCTTCAGTTTCCTTTTCTGGGTCTCTTTACAGGGTTATTTTGAGGATTAAATAAGGTAATAATGTATGTGAAAAAACTCTAATATTAAAATTCCATACTCTGTAGGAAGTAAAGTAGGAGTCCAATTCATTGATCTTTTCAGTTGTTAATTCACTCATTCATTCATTCACTCATTCATTCATTCACCAATCACTCACATATTTATCATGTGTCAGGCACAAATAAAAGAAGCGAGCCATGCTCAGGAAGTCTACTCTAGGAAGAGCTAGGAAGCCAGGACTGTGTGCTAATCCTTCCTGTCCAACTCCTCTGTCCATCGCTGTTTGGCTGGGGTGGACATAGACGCTCTTCTGGGGAGCTTGGAGATGGTTAAGAGGAGCTTTCAAAGACCTTCCAACCAAAACCAAGCTTGCCAAACCTGAGAAAAAAACACTGTTGGAATAAATGAAGTCCTGCAGACTAATAATAGTAAGGTGCCCAGAAAGCAAGTAACTCACTGGGCTCGGGAGTCTTGGTAAACTTCAGAGCAAGATTTGCAGTGGACAAGCTACAGATTGTTTGAGTATCCTGGCTGTCCCAGCTGTGGTCTGAATTCTCTCCCAGGAGTGGCTGCATCCAATCCTTGCTGGCGCAGATTTTGCCTTCCTCATGTTGAATCCCCACTGTCTGGCCCCACTCTTGCTCACAGAAAGTCTTTTTGTGGTACCCTGGAGTTAGAGGCCGCGATGAGCATTCTGGGTTTTGGACTTGCAGGTGGGCACTCTCCCCGGACTGTGTGATGTGCTGCGGGTGCTGCGGGAGGAACGGGACCAGTGCCTACAGGAACTCTCCAAAGAGAAGCCAGGAGACCTGGGCACGGAGCAGCCAGCCCCAGGTATGTGGCTCACTTCAGTCCACGCTTGGACGTGGATAGTGTCCAGTCCCACTGGGGTAAGGGAGGCTCGACGGGTTGGGGATGTAGGGGGCTGGACTAGCTCTATTCATTCAGATAATCACCTGGGGGGAGGATCTGGAATGATCCCAACGAGCAGTTGACACACACCCAAAAAGCCAGATCATCACCACTCACCGTTTCTCTGGGCTCGTAAATACAGTCTGTGTTTTCATACCACCAACTTCTGCATAATGACTTCACCAAGGTAAGAGTTTGGTGAGAATTACTAGTCAAGGCAGTGTACCTCCTATCCATTCTCTCACCTCCTCTGCCAGTTTGATAAGTGAGGTAGTCAGAGAGGCAGCGAGGGGTCAGAAAAACCTGGGGTCCAACATTGGCTCCCACTCACTGGCTGTGTAACCATGGACAAGTTATTTAACCTGCTGAGCCTCGGTTTCTTGATGTACACGATGAGGTGACAATGTCTACTTCGGGTTTATAATGATGCATGAGATAAAGTGTGTTAAACACTGGTGATTCTTAAATATTATTCATTTAAACATTATTATTAATCATTGAAAAATACCATTAATTTGATATTGAAGGGGCACCTGGGTGGCTCAGTCAGTTAAGCGTCTGCCTTCGGCTCAGGTCATCATCCCAGGGTCCTGGGATCGAGCCCCACGTCGGGCTCCGTGCTCAGCCGGAAGCCTGCTTCTCCCTCTCCCACTCCCCCTGCTTGTGTTCCCTCTCTCGCTGTGTCTCTCTCTGTCAAATAAATAATTAAAAATCTCTTAAAAAAAAAAAAGTCTCTGTGACATTTCAGACTTTTTTTTTTTTTTTTTAGTTTTTAACCTGTATAATAAGTACCATTATTAACCCCATTTCACAGATGAGGAAAATAGAGGCTCCGAGAGACTCAGGATTTCCCAGAGCTGAAACAGGACTCTCAGCCCACATCTTTTGACTCTAAATCCTAAGGATTTTGTAGTTTGCAACCCAGACTGAGCTGTGAGTGACTGATATCCTCACTCTCCCAAGAAGGGATTTAAAAATTAGAAATTAGAAAAAAAAAGACAGATTGTTGATGCCAGTTAATCTTTAATTAATGGGAGAGGTGGCATGAAATGAAGAGCTTTAGGCCAGGTGAGGAAGAGCTATCAGGGTGCACGAGGGGGATTCTGTGAGGCAGGGTACAGTTTGCCCAGTCCCTGGGTGGGGGAAGGGCTCGGCATAGAGCGCTCAGGAGCCCGCCTCAAGGAAAGCAGACTTCAGGCTCAGGCTCGAAGCCTCCTTTGTCTTATCCCCTGCAGCCTCCGCGCAACATCTGAAGTATTTTCCAGTCTGCTAATTCCGTGCCCCTCTCTGCTTGAACACTTTTCGTGGTGGGGAGCTCGCTACTCCCAACACAGTTTATCCCGTGGAACTGTTTGGGCTTCGTGGTTTAAAAAGAACTCCACGCCCGCCCCCCCCCGCAACTGTTTAGTTGTTCCTCCCTGTGCTGTGCTTTGGAATGTCTTTGCCACCCGGGACTTCAGTTCCATTGACTCCCTCCTGTCCGCTTCTGTGTGTGGTCCAGCCAGCACCGGGAGGCAACACCTTTCTTGACCTCAGTGCTGTAGATCAGCTCATCAGCAGAGCCCTCACCGGGTTGCCCCTTGGATGGCCTAGGGATGGGGCCGGGGTAGCCGAGAAAGGCAAAGGGAGGCAGGATGAAGCCAGGGAACAGGCAGCTGCAGGAGCCCCTGAACCACCGAGAAGTCTCGGGGAGGACACAGGTGAATGGCGGTGAGTAGGGGTAGGAGACACCTGGGAGATGGATATGGCAGCTCTAGGTAGGAGGAGAGCGTTAACACTGACAGAAGCAGAAGCTAGGGGAGGACCAGAAGGGCAGGGCGAGGGGGAACTTGGGTTCCCTGGTGACCAGTGAGCAGCGGGGGGTGTGCAGGGGCCTTGGAGGGACGGAGGACCCAGTGGTCAACCCAGCATGGCCCTGGGGGCCTGGCTTGGTCCTGGCCCCGTCGCATTGCAGCCTGACACATGGCTCCGGAAATACTCCCAGGTTATCGCCAGGCCATCTGAGCTTATTTATAAATAAATCAAGAACTGGAAGATGGATGCTCTTCTCTGGGTGGATGCAGGGCAGACAGGCAATTAGCAGAGGGCTGGCTGCATGCCAGGCACCAGGCTGGGTGGGGATGGAGAGATGCCCCAGGCCCGGTCCTGCCCTCTCAGATCACCTCTACCTGTATTCCAACCCCGTCCCCGTCAGCAGACCGGCCTCTGGGACCACCTCTCTATGGGGACAGGGGGTGGGGCAGGACAGCAGGACTATAGGACAGAAGGAGCACATGTCATTGAGCCTGGCTCCGTGCCGGGGGCTTCACAAGTATAAAGGAGACCAGTCTTTGTCCATCAACTCCAGTGGGCAAAAATAGAACTTTCTCAGTTTTCTGTACCTTTAATTCTGACTCCGTTCTCCTGGGATGGAGAAACCTAAGCCTTGTTTTTTTCTGGATCTTCCCCACAACTTGGCCAGGCTATCAGAGATTCACATGGCACTGTGGTATCTGGGGGAGCCCATGTGGTCTTGAGCTTTGCTCCACAGAGTGGTGGCCAACGGACTTCTGTGCTTCGCTGGAGGCATGAGCTCTGCAAGGCTGTCTGTGGTCCTGCCCGTCTAGAAAGATCCCTACAGCCATTTCTCCTCTGGGCTACCCCACCATCCAGGACTGGCTGGGCAGCAGGGTACTCATGCCTCTTGCTGGAACCTTGTATATCCTGTTCATCGCTTGCCCTCTTTGTCTCCCCAGACTGAGGGAAGTCTTGCTTCCTTTTCTGTTTTCTCCCAAGCATTTTGTTTACACCAGAATTCTTGTCCCCGTCCCCCCCACTGCCCAGCCTTTGGAAACCCAAGCCAGGAAGATTCTAAATTTTTCTGCCCACCTCTGAGAATGTGAACCAGTAGGCTGAGGAGGAAGGACAAAAGAAGGGGGGCAGGGATGGAGATTAATAGATCAGAAAATATTCTCCTGAACACAAAAATCATTTAATCCTCACCAAAATCCTGGGAGATGTTACTACGCCCATTTTATAGATGAGAACACTGAGGCCCGTAGAGGTAAGGGGCATGCCCAAGCTAGATTAGGGTCCAGAGTTCGCTCTATCTCCACCACAAGACCGCTTCAACTCAGGATCCCGTGCTGTCCTCTGTGGCCACGGGCACTCGGCAGGCACCCCCTGCTCCCCCAGATGGCATTTGTGGGCCAACATTGTCTTCTCTTGTCTCCCCACTTAACCATCCCCAGCTTTCCCTCCTCACCCTCCAGCCAGGCAGTCAGCGGTGACAATGCCCATCAAGGATGGTGGAGAGCTGCCCCTCACGCTGCCCTGGGCCCTGCTTGTCCACGAAGCAGCTAATGTGTATGCATTTCAGCCCTGCTTTCCGGAGGCAGGGAGCCCTCCCTCCTGGCTCAGTGAACAGGAGCCCCATTTACAAAACTCCTCCATCCCTTATTTCATTGGACACCCCCTCACCCCGAACTCAGGCAGCGAGCTCTGGGGTCAAGTTCTAAACCTACCAGGAATGCACAGTGACCCGAGTTCTGAGCTTTGTCCCTTTCCCACCAGAGCCCCAGAAGGAGTCTGGTGCCAGGACGCCCTCCCTTCTTCCCATCCCTGCCTTACCTGTGCAGGCCTTCCCCCTACTCAGAGCAGGAGCCTGGTGGGAAGTGGGGTCTGAGGCCCTCCACTCACACCCTGGACAGTGCAAAGGGGGTCCCTGCAAGCAGCCAGGAGCCACACAGAACCACCTGGCTACCCTGGCCACAGTCCCTCCAGCCCAGCGCACACGTGTGCTGCTTGCCTGAATGTTTTCTCTTTCAATCAATTGACTTCTTTTTTCCCATCATGCTGTACATTAGATCTTAGACTCATTCACCCTTCAGAACTGCAACTCAGTGCCCTTTGGCCAACCTCTCCCCGTTTCCCCCCAACCCCAGCCCCCAGTGACCATTCTACTTTCTACTTTGGTAAGTTTGAATCTTTCACATTCCACATGGGAGTGAGATCACATGGCATTTATCTTTCTGTGTCTGGCTTAGCTCATTTAGCATACTGTCCTCCGGGTTTATCCATGTTGTCACAAGAGGCAGGATTTCTTTCTTTGTTGAGGCTGAGTGATACTGCATTGTAATCCTCCTCGTCCATTCACTGTTCCATGGACACGTAGGCTGTTTCCACACCTTGGCTATTGTGAACCATGCTGCAGTGGACATGCAAGAGCAGAGATCTCCCTCTCTGAGGTCCTGATTTCATTTCCTTTGGGTATATACCCAGAAGTGGGATTGCTGGATCATATCGTAGTTCTATTTTTATTTATTGAGGGCCTCCGTACTGTTTTCTATGATGGCCAGTTTGCATTCCCCCAATAGTGTACGAGGTTCTCCCCCCACTTTTTAAAATTAATTTATTTTTTTCGGAGAAAGAGAGAGAGAGACAATATGAGCAGGGGGAGGGGCAGAGGGAGAGGGAGAATCTCAAGTAGACTCCACGCTGAGCTCAGAGCCCAGCACGGGGCTTGAGCTCTGGACCCTGAGATCAGGACCTGAGCCGGAAATCAAGAGTCGGATGCTCCACCGCTTGAGCCACCCAGGCATCCCGAGGGTTCCCTTTTCTTCAACTGACTTTCAGTTTTTAACTTAGCTTCCTTCTAAACAATAATAGCTATAAAATCACAGATGTGATATGCTCGTCCTATAACTGCTTAATACATATTAAATTCTCTTTTTTTTTTAAAAACGTGTAACTATTAAAATTAAAAGCATTCAACCAGTAGGGGCTAGAGGAGCATGCCATTGGGGATGGGAGCACTAGGTCTGTTCCTGGTGCTGAGGCTGGAAGAGAGCGTGGCCCTGCCACGGCACGATACCGTGCTCAAGACACGAGCAATGCCACGCAGAGGCGGGAGCATCAGGTGGGCTGCTACCAAGGGTCAGCCTGGAGGGTGGGATGCCAGCTCCAGCAGCATCAGCTCTGTCCCCCTGCACATGTCACTTTGCCTCTCGGAGCCTGGGTTCCGCACCTCCATCACCTCTGCTGTGGGGCAGTGATCTTACCCAACCCCTGCACACTCCACAGTGTCTGATGTGTGTCCAGGCTTTTCTCTCTGCAGGGCTGATATGAAGGGCGTGTCAGTGACCTGGCCACCAGGGGACCCCACTCACCTTGAGGGGAGCTGCTCCCCCCTGACCACCAGCCCCTCCTCCACCGCCTTCTGCCAGCACCGGGGCAGTGTCCCCGTGGGCCCAACCTGACATGACCCAGGTCAGGAAGCCTGCCAGATGCCCTGGTACCCTCCCCAACTGTCTGGCCGCTGGACAGGGCTTGTCTGGCCTCACGGGCAGGAGCCCCGGGCCCAGGCCCTGGCTGAGCTGGCTGGGCCCAGCCCTGAATTCATTTCTCCCAAAGGGAGGAAAGAGGCCCCTGAATTCTTCCACAGCTGGGAAGTGCCCCAACCACATCTAATACAAGACATGTGGCTCCTTGTAAATGAGGCACCCTGCTGTCATATGGAGACTTCTGCAGAAGGAGAAAAGACGTGGGTCAGTGTCATCCTCCAGGCTCCAGATCCTGGAATAACTCAAGTAGACAGACACAGTGGGTCATCTGTTACAGGCCTTCCCAGCCTGGTGTCGCCATCCCAGGGCCATCTGGGGAGGCCAGAGTCACTGGGAGCCTGCAAGCTCTGAAAGACCCTGCTCACGTCTGGCAGGCAGCGTCCACAGCTGGAATGTGGACGACCAGTTGCCTGGACGGTGGTAAACCCTGCCTGGGTGCTCTGGGAAGAGCTCAGATGGACAGCTCCAGCCCCTCCTCTTTCAGGCCTCACTGTGAGAGTTGGGGTGAAGGTTCAGGGACATCCAAGGGGTTGCTCATCTCCCACATTCCTCGAGTGACACAAACCCTGGTCCTCAGTCCCAAGATGCTTCCACCGTCCTGGGCAAGCCCCGTCCAAGCCCTGCCTTTGTGTCCAAGCTCTCTCTCATTCCATACCAGCAACCTTGCCCTGGGGCCACAGTCTGTCTGTCACTCAGGGGCAGCTCTACCTCCAGAGCCCCCAGCCGGGCATCCTGACTTCCCACTTCCTCTCTGTCCCCATCCCTCTGGGGGCCAACCCCCCTGCGAGAGGAGAGCCCCAACTGCCTTCAGCCCAGCTCTCTGCATCCTCCCTCTTTCCCTCCTGGCCCAGCTTCACACCCTGCCTCCCCGCCACCTCCTGGCCCCTCTCCAGCTCCCCTAGCCTGGCTCCATGAGGAAGGCTCTCGGAAGCTGGGGTTGGTGCCCCCGAGGAGACAGGGCAGGTGGGTGAAGCCTGGGAGGTGGCATGGAGCAGTGTGGCTGGACAGCCCCTTTCCAGCCCCTGCATTTCCTGGGCTGTGTGACTCCAGGAACCTGTTTCTCTTCTCTGCTTCATCACTTCATTTATAAAACAAGGACAGGGCTGGCTGCCTCGGAGCACTGCTGTGGGTTAGATGAGCTCACGTGTGTGAAAGCACAGGGTGACGGACTCCCACTAGCACCAAACCAGAGCTCACAGGCCGAGGACTGGAAGGCCAGCACCTTAACGTGGAATCCAGAAGTCAGTGCTCAGACCAAAGTCCGTTTCCGAGGAATGCATGTGGGGAAACAGACTCCTGTTTTAACACAGTATCACTCCTGGGCCCCTCCCAACACCAATTAAATCAGGATCCCTGGGTGTAGGGCCCAGTTCTGTATGTTCTGATGCCTGGGTGGCTCAGTCCATTGAGCGTCTGCCTTCGGCTCAGGTCATCATGCCAGGGTGCTGGGATCGAGCCCCGCATGGGGCTCCCTGCTCCGCGGGGAGCCTGCTTCTCCCTCTCCCTCTGCCGCTCCCCCTGCTTGTGCTTTCTCTCTCTCCAACAAATAAATAAATAAATAAAATCTTTTTAAAAATTTAAAAATAAATAAATAAAGCTCCCTAGATGGTTACACTGTGCAGCCAGGCTGGAGGCCCCCTGCTGTCAAGTCTAATGCAAGCTGAGGCCAAGAGGTGTTCTGTCTCTAGAGAAATCCAGACCTGCCCTGGTGAGGCTTATATGAGATAATGTGTGTTCTCTCCTTCCTTCACGCCTTCAACGTGAGCACTTACTGTGTAGATGGCAGAGTCGAAGGCCCCAAAGATAAAAAGGCACATTAGACCCCACTGGTTCCTGATCTTGAAGAGTCAGGACCGCACGGGAACTCCTAGCAGGCCGGAGTGTTGGGGATGGTGCCAGGCGGTTTGGGGGGAGGCCCTTGGCCCACGCTCTCTCCCTGTCTAACGTTGTGTTCGTCTTGGCAGGTTGCGAGGGGCTGTGGGACAACATGAGCTGCTGGCCCTCCTCCGCACTGGGACGGACTGTGGAAGTGGGGTGCCCCCCATTCCTCCAGATGCTCACTGGCAGAAACGGTAACCACTCAGCCCACGGGTTCCGGCTGCGAAGCAGTGGGTGGCCCTCTGGGTGGGGCCCTGGCCTGGAGACCAAAGAACCTCTGGGGACAAGTGGTGAACGGACTGGTGGGAGGTGATCCTTGTTGGGGCCTGGAGGCCTTGCTTGGGGGTGTGAGGTGGGCTCAATTCGCAGGGTCCCAAGGAAGGGGGCCAGGAGGCAATGTACTAGGAAGTGATAAAGGAGACTGGGCTTGCTTCTCTCTGTCCCACATCCCCAGTTGGGCTCCCCCACTTCCTTCCATGTTTCTGCCCCCTTAGCAACCAGACCCCTTGTTCCAGCCCCTGGGTCTGGGTCCCACATGGCACAACCTAGCTTTCCAGAACACTTACTTTCTATGTGTCCATTCTGCCAGGCCCTGCTGATAAACTGTGCCCTCCCTGAAAGCCCCTCGCCTCCTGGGTGATCTCTTGCCCGAGGAAAACTGCAGTTTACAAGGATTTTCTTAATTTGAGGCAGGGGGTGGGGAGACTGTGTCAGACAGGGGATGTTCAGGGACTAACATTGGCTAAAGCCCCACCACCTGCCAGGCATTTTTATATACACAGGCTCAGTTGAGCCATCACAACTCCCCTGCCAATCACAGAACTTGTCTCCTCCACTTGACCCAGGAAAAAGGAAAAAAAAAAACAAAAAACAGGGAGTTAAGAGGGGTTTAGCACTTTACCTAAGGTTCACGGCTAGAAGATGGAGAATCTAAGATTCAAACTCAGATTTCTCCGACTTCAAAACCAGCGCCCTGTCCTTCGATGCCATGGTCAAGATGGGACTACAGCTTTGTGGTGGGGGGTGATGCTGGGTGGAGGCAAGGCCTTTGGCCCCTGTCCTCCATGAGGTCATTTAAAGTCAAAAGCCTGACCTGGCCCTGCTAACCCTTCCCCTCATCTATGTGGGGCAGGAAATGCTGACCAGTGAGGCCCTTCACAAGAACAAACCAGAAAAGATGACTTTACACTAAAACCCACCAGCATCCCAAAGCCGGGTAAGGAAAGGTTGACCAGCAAGGAAAACAAGACCATGCAGTGTGGGAGAGGAGTGTAAATTCCTCACTCCATAATTCTCTAGTACGCATGTGCACACACACACACACACACACCCAGATCTGGGGAGCACACTGCGGTAGCTCACAATCCCGCTCAGCCTCCTGGATGCCCAGCAGACAGGAACTGCAGGGGACCGGGGAGATAGGTCGGAGTCCCCCTTCTCCACTTCCTGCTTGGATAACGCCAGCTGCTGAAACAGACAATGTCTCAAATCTCAAAGCCTTCATACGTATGTATAATGCCTGCCCGCCTAATGTGCAAACTGGGCGCTCCTGATTAGCACCAGGCCTGAATATGATCCCGCTTCTGCCCACATTGCCTCTGCCAGAACTCAGTCATGTGGCGACACCGACCTGCAAGGGACGAGGGAAAGTGTGGTCCAGCCACGTGTCAGTCTCCCGGACCTGAGAGCCCAAGTTACTCATTCTCAGCCTTGATTTTCTCATCTGGAAAATGGGGAGAATAAACAGGACCAGGCTATGCTTGGAAATGAATTTTAAGTATCTTCCTTTGTCCTTTCTCTTCCTCTCTTCTCCCTTTTTGCCTACCCCCCCACACACCTGCCAACACATGCCAGGAAACTTACCAACAGTCTTTTTCTCCCAGCGTGACCCTTCCACGTCTATGTCTGGGGTCCATGGAGCTCCCGACACATGAGATTAATCCACACATGATTGACCTACAGCAACATGCTGGTCAGGTGCAAGGCCAGGACCAGATCCTGGACTCCCCATCCAGTGCTCCTCCCTCGCTGACCGAGTTCTCCAGTTGGAGGGACTTGAAGCTCTCCTCCTTTCCCAGCCTTCCCTTCACAACCCGCCCAGAGCCGCAGTGCCTCTACCTCTCCTATCAACGTCCCTCCTACCTTTCTGCGGAGGGGGCCGAGCAGAGCCGTGGCTCCTGGCCAAATCCTTCCCAATCAATTGCTAGAACGCCGGCCTGCCTCATTAACTAGTAGCCCACTGACTCCTTTCTGAGGATCCCCAACCCTTTAATTGCTCAAGACCCCCCGGAGTTCAGCCAGGAGTGCATTTCTAGGTCTGCCACTGTGGGGGAGGAAGTTGGGGTGGTACGTGTACCGCTGCTGCAGTTTCTTCTTGCTGCCACATGGTGTCGCTGTGGGGCTGCAGGAGCCACCCGTCTACCAGTCCACAGGGAGGCCCTGCCCTCCCCACCCCAGGGCTCTGCACTTGCTGGGGGGCAGCGTCACTACCCCCCCACCCAGTGACCCCAGGGCCACTCTGTTCATACCCATCCCCAAGCCCAGGGCACCAGCCAGTCCAGGAGCACGGGCCAGGACCAGTCCGGCCTCAGTTAGCCACCAAGAACCATCTTCCTACCACCATCTTCCCTCCCCATAGATCTCAGCCCCCTGGACTCCTCTCAGGAAGGAAAGCTCCCCTCAGTGGTTTCCCACAGGATTCCAGGGCTCCCCAACCCAACCCAGGGAGGAGCGCCCAGTGAGGACAGTGTGGTGTTTTGGACCGACCCTTCCTTTTGAGAGAAGAAAATAATAATAATAAATTATTTCCCAGGGACCCCGCTACAGGGGCCCAGACAGGATGGTTGACCATGTGACTGGAGAAACTGCAGGCTAGAATCTGCCCCCAGATATTTTTCTGTGTGTGCCAAGGTCTAGAATGTTCCCTCCAGGATGCATTCCTTTGATTCTTAATGGGGCACTGGTCTTCCAGAGTTCCTTGTTAGAAAGCACACTTCCGTGGCAGGGTCAGGCCTTGGCCTTTCCCTGAGCCTTAACTTAGTAGACGTTCCTTATAACCTGATTAGGTTCCAGGAGCCTTTTGAGAATTGGATAAAAGCTTTGGACTGGCTCTTCCCCAAACTGCACATACGTATATGCACAAAAATACTGCCTGTACTTCAGGGGCCCTTGAGGTGTACATTGACCTGAACGTGGGTAAGGACGGGCCCCTGTCCTATTAGGAATTAACCCCAGGGGAAGTGGGTGGGGTTGAAGGGACTCCAGAGAGAGCCCAACTCTTGTCTTCTCAGCAGCTCTGCCAAGAGCCCGGTCAGCAAAGGGCACCGTCTTTTTAGTCACACCGGGCTCCTGGCCTGGATCACATGCAGCATCTGTCTGGGGAATCCCACTGGGTCAGTGAGGAGAAGGCCCCAAAACAGGCAGCCCAGCCCAGCCTCTATGGGCACGCTGGCTGATAACCGGTTCTGGGCTCCAGGGAGTTTGTGTTTTCTTAATCCAACTTCCCATCCAACCAAGCCGAAATTGGACCACCATGTTTTCCCGTCTGACAACCTAGCTCCCTTGATTTAACTATAGAAATCTTGCACCCCCTCCTAAATTCCATGCCCCACCACCGCTGGTCCATTTTGGAAAGGCTGAAAGGAGGAGGGAGTCAGACTCCCAGCCCAGCGAGCACCAGCCTGGGCACTTCCTGGTGCTATCGTGTTCCCCACTCGGTCCTGCAGGTGGGTGGTTATTGTCACTGGGCACAGAAAAGTGAGGTACCTAAGCTCACACCCAGATGACCAAGAGACAGGGCTGGGGTTCACACTCAGATCTGGCTAGCTGGAAACCTGTGCTCCAGGTCTCAGGAGCCTTCAGGGGCTGGGCATTCCTGGATGCGGAAGGCCGAGGTCTCCTGGTGGTAGAAGCTGCCCCCGGGGACTGCAGGGAGGGAGGCACAGTGAAGAGTCACATCCTGGCTGGGCCCTGTTACCCAATCCTGGGCCTTGGTTTTCTTGTCTGGAAAATAAGCCAGCAGTATCTCCCTCACTGAGCGCTGGGAGGATTAGATCAAAATCTGGAAATGAGCATGATGGCTGGTTCTAGAAATGCCAGCCACAGTTCTCGAGTTCAGTGGAACCCATCTGACCCTGAACCCTGTGAACCAGTGGTCCAGACTGGAGGCCTGTCAGAGAGGAGCATACAAAGCCCAACTGGGGTGGCTAAGGCCCCTGGGGAGGGTACAAATTAGAACAGAGTGGGTGTCAGAGTTCCTGTCTCCAGGGCTGAGACCAGCCTCCCCCCCAACCCCTGCCACATGGGCAGCAGCCAGATCCTGGGACCAGTGCTTGGCCCTCCTCTGGAGTAGAGGATGCAACTGGGCCGTCAGTCCATGGAGGGCGACTCCTCTTGGTCACTTCCCAAGACTTCCTTCTCAGTGGCTGGCAGCTCCCCTTCCCCAGTTTTCGGACTTCTGCTCCAAAAGCTCCGTGTGGGCAAACTTCCCTGTTCCCTTATAGAAGAATTTAGAGCAGGCTCTTCTCCACTCAGTTGGTGTTCTGGCCCGCCAGCCAGCAAACGGATGAGCAAGGGCTCTGGGTTGGCCCCGGGAGCCCTCCAGAGCTCATCAGCTGCTAGGGGAGGCGGGGAAGCCAGCCACCACTGTGTGAAGGGCACAGGACTTGGCCTTGGCCTTGTGCGGGGAGAAGGGCGGTGAGCGCTGCGGGAGGATCGGAGGATCGCAGCTATCCTGTGATTTACAATGCAGAGAAATGCGGAGGTGCGGCTGGAGGACTGAGAACTCCTTCCTTTCTGGGAGGGGCGGCCCCCTGGACGGTCTACCTTAGTGCCCCTGCTCTGCTGGAGGTTTTCAGGTGCTGGGGAGCAGGGCGGGAAGTGAGATTTGAAATAGAACTTCCTCGGTGTGGGACATTTCACTATGGGAATGGCCGGGTCCTTGCCAACCGTGCCAGGTTCTCGGGGAACCCACCCATTAAATGGCAGCGGGACCTGGGATCAGTACGTAGTAAGAGGAGAAAGCAGGAGAAAGAAAGGGGATCCGTACATAGTGTGTGGTTGAGAGTGAGGGTCTGAGACCCGGGGTTCAACTCCCATTTCCTCCATTTCCTGTGCTGTGATCTTATGCAGATTATTTAACCACGGTGTGCCTCAGTTTCCCCAACTGTGAAATGGATACAGTATTTACCTGTTATAATATGTTTTACTATAAAGGTAACTGCTTAGTTCATAGTCTTGTTAGGGTTAAAGGAGTCGCTACCTGTCACAGGCTTAGGACAGTGTCTGGCACATAGTAATCACCAGGTATTATTATAGTAGAGCACGGGATTTTATAATTGAGCAAACACACAGCCCTCAGAGAGTGAGATCAATGGGGTTTTTTTGGTTGGGGGTGTATGATCAGAATCGCTTGGGATCACTGTCCTTGAGCGCGACATTTGGCCCCTTGTATGACATGGGACACTGTAATCCCTTGCAAGAGCACTGGTGTGCTGCCATATTGCGAAGGTTTATATTTATCTCCTGTGAACACCCAGGGGGTCAAGTAGCACCCCCTGTTTTGGGAAAACCCTCAAAAACCAGAAGTGGCACCTCAGCCAGTGGGTGTGGAGGATGGGCAGGGGCGTCCCCCCTGGAGCACTGAGGGGGCTTGATGCTGAGATTGGAGCCCGGGAAGGGAAGGTGAGGGGTAGGGTGGGAGTGGACATGCCTGGGGTGAAGCCGTGGTGCCCCGGGGCCTGAGAGACCCCTGGAGTGGAGCTGGGCCTGGGGGCAGCCAGCCGGGCTGGGGAGCGGTGACCAGAAGCTCTGCAGGGTTGGGAGTGCAGTGGGGGAGAGCTGCTGTGACCGTAGGGGACTGTAGTGTGTGTCAACCCCGTCTGTGGAGCCCTGTGCCTGGCACAGAGGGATGTGGGGGTGGGCGAGGCCGTGGGACCCCGGGGGAGGGCAAGTAGTGCTTGGAGGCTGAACAGGGTATTTGTTCAGAGCTGGCCTGTTTGTAGATTGAGGCCTCAGGGGTCCACGGATCTGTCTCTCTCTCACCTGTGCACACACATCTGCATCTTTGCCCTTTTTTTTTTTTTAAGATTTTTATTTATTTGAAAGAGAGCGAAAGTGAGAGAGATCACAGAGGGAGAGGGAGAAGCAGACTTCCTGATGAGCAGGGAGTGCGATGTGGGACTCGTTCCCAGGACCCTGGGATCACGACCTGAGCCAAAGGCAGATGCTTAACCGACTGAGCCACCCAGGCGCCCCTTTCCCGCTCCTTCTTACTGACCCTTACATATTCTTCAAGGATCAGCTGAGCCAATTGAGAGCTGACCCTGTGGTTCAAAGAAAGGCAGCTGGGGCCCAGCAATGGGGAAACACCAGGCCACCCCTAAGGTGTGGCTGAGGGTACCCGGGACCCCAGGCCATCTGTCCCCTGTCCCCACTGCTCACCTGCAGGATGCTTGGCCCCCACAGGTTCCATGTTTCGAAACTGCACACAGGACGGCTGGTCGGAAACCTTCCCCAGGCCTGACCTGGCCTGTGGGGTTAACGTGAACGACTCGTCCAACGAGGAGCGGGTAAGCCTGTCTGCCCCTCTTTCCCTGGCTGGGGGCCTGCAGGGTGAGAAGACAGAGTGGAGCCAGCCCCGGGGCAAGATCAGGGGACCAGGAGCTGCTCCGGTCACCCACCCCACCCCGCTCATCATCCGGGGTTCGCTGGGCCTGCCTCACTGCCCTGGTCTGTCATGTGAAGCCAAGGTAGGTCTCCTTTCCGCTACTTTTGGCCAATTAATATTCTGAGTTAAGTCCAAACTTTGCATTTACCTTTGTTAAATTTCAGCTCCTTGTTTCGGGATTTTACAGTTTCAACCCTGGAGGAATATCATGGTTAAGGCCCTGGGCTCTGTTCTTCCCCAACTGATGAGTCTAAGCCAACAGTGTTTCCGATGTGGTTTCAATAGGCATAACTCACAAAACCAAAAGCTCGTGGGGTCCGCAATAATTCTTAAGGGTGTAAAAGGGTCCCAAGGTCAAAAGGTTTGAGAACCACTGGCCTAGGCCAATCCTGTATCCCAGCCCTCTGCCAGGGATGGTCCAGGGGTGGGCAGGCTCCAGTCACTTTGGGCCAGTGAGATGTGAGGACAAGCTTGCTGGGGTTTGGGTGAAGAAGCTTTCTCACTCTTGGGAAGGAGCCATAGGAAGTCTGGCTGTCCCTCCTCCTGGACAAGCAGGCATGGGGAAGCATGTGGCTGTCATCACCAAGGCAGTCATCCAAATCGAGAAGTGGCAGCCTCGAGAAGAAGCCACCAGGATAGCAGGAGGAGAAATGGAAAGAACCCGGTCCTTTGGCAGCTTCTTAGTGCTGCTTTATGAAAGAGTTCTGAAACCTATTCTCTGCATCCCCAGTTACATGAGCCACATCTGTTTATTAGGCAAGTTGGAAATTTCTGTTTCTTGCAGCCCAGAGCATCCTTTCGAACCTCTGTGCTGCCATCCATCATAAGAATGTTCTCTCTTAATTTTATGGATTTTGCCAATGTGATCACATAAACTTCCTGTCCTCAGAGAGGTTGGCACACTGTGGCCCTTGAGCCAAACACAGCCCACCACCTGCTTGTGCAAATAAAGTTTTAGTGAGCCATAGCTACGGCGATTTGCACTACGAGCAGAGCTGAGTGATGGCAAGAGCCCAAATGGGCACCCAAAGTCTAAAACACTTATTACCTGTCCCTTTACAGAAAAAGTCTGCTGACCCCTGATCTAGAGGATGCAGAAGGAAGGTGGCCTAGTCAGGAAACATGGCAGAGAGACAGGCAACTTGATCCAGGACAGACAGCAGTGAGGCTTCTGGACCCCAAGCCCCCTGGGAGGTGGCGCCCGTTGCAGATGTGGAGGGCAGGTGCGCTGAGGTCACATCAGGCCTCCTGGGAGCAGGGCTCTTTCTGGATTAGAATTTACACACATAACGCAGGGATAAGTGGAGTTAGCTGGTGTCCTGAGGCTTCCCTGGCAGACAATCCGCCCAGCCTCAGGCCAATGCAGAACATTCAGCCTGAACGCCCCATACTGTCACCCCATGCCTCCTCATGCTGTCACAGACTGGCCCAAATCTGCTTCTGAACTGAGAGCTGCTAGCCAGGTGGTCTTAGGAGCGAGGCTCATGCCCTCAGGTCCGGGGCTCATCCTGCCCATGGCAAGATTATAGTCCGACACATCATCGATCCACTAATTTCTTGACATTTGACTGCTCTTTGATGTCCCAAAGTCAAGGCACCATGAATCTAGGGCAACCTACTGTCCTTTCGGCTCTCATCTACGTTCCTGAGAGGTGGCTCCTGGCTTCTGGGATCACAGTCACACCAGTGGGGAAGCTCAATGTCACATGGCAGCCAGCCCATCAAAGGTTGCCTCTTGCTCTCAGAAAAGTTTTGGTCACTGAGTCAGATATCTTTTTGGTAGCTTCCTCCCCTTGGAGCTAATGCTTCTACCTGTCAATCGTCCTAATACTTTTTTTCCCAAGTTTATTTGTTTGTTTCCTCGGGGTGCAATGTACCCAGTTTTTTCATGCACTCTTCCCTTCTCTGGAAATGTTCTAGTTTATTAATGTGCCTCTTAAAATAGCATGCCCAGAACTGGACGAAACACTCCAAACGTTCCAGTGTTGTCCGGTGTCCCACAGCACTCCGTTATTGTAACTGAGAATGCAATATAGCTTCTTTATAACTCATACTTCATACCGTGATCTTGGACCCATGACTCGTGTTGAAGGGTGGATGATGGGGGTGAGAGGTAGAGGTGGGGAAAAATTAACATGCTCTGAGTGTCTTGTAAGTGTCAGTCTAGATACTCTGATACTTCATTTGCTCTTCCGACAAGCCTGCAAGGTAGATATTATCCCCCATTTTGCAGATGAGGAATCTGAGGCTCAGAGAAGTTAAGTAATTTGCCCAAGGTCACATAGCTGGTGAGTAACAGTCCTGGGTTTGGAAACTTTGTCTCGGCTCTGAAGCCTGCATTCTTTCCCCGCAGTACACTTCCTAACGCCATGGAGCTTGGGACATTTGAACCTCAAGGTCATTTTCATATGAAGAGCTGTCAGCAAGGTTTCCCCAATACTATTCTTGTGCCTTTTTTTTTTTTTTTAGATTAATTACCTTTTTCTTCTGGTTATAAAATAGTACTTACCCTCTGGAGAGAAGTGAAAAGTGTAGAAAAAAATAAAATAAAAATAACAACTCTGTCCACAAACTTATCTTCCAAAGTTAACCATTATTAACCTCTGTCACATCTTTTTACAGCCTTATGGTCTATGCATGTATGAGATTGAGCCACATGAAATGGCCAGTACTCAATCATTTGATCTACAAAAGAGGGCAATTTCATGTAATTCAGCCTAATACTTTTTTTTAACAGATAGCAGGAATCACACTGTACATATAAAATTTGTATTCTGGGGGTGCCTGGGTGGCTCAGT